AGCGCATTGTTGCAGATGCGATTGCAGTTAATGTCACGGTCTATCGGTCGTGATGCGTGATTCGATTATCTTGCGAACGAAAATCGCTTCCGTTATGGTGAAGCGTAGTTTAGTGTTTTCTAAACTACTGTAACTAAGAGCTGCTTTTTTTCTCGCAATCAAAGTTCCACAATGAGCGTGTGGAATTCTTCACTATTGCAACCATCGTCTTTTCAGGACTGCGTCTATACAGGCACTCACCGACGTTCAGCTATGGGTTTTGGATCGAAGCGTTTTTCAAACGATCACACAACGACTGGGAATGGAAAGACATACACAGTTGATGAACTTTTTGAGCAAGGTAAACGATGTCATATCCTCAGTGCGAACAAATGAGTAGCATGCGCGGTTGTAGCAGTCAATAATGTTAGTGTGAGCTCAGCGTTAGGACTATCCATTCTTGAGCAACAGACAAAAAATGTTAACTCGTCCGTATAACATCAAAAGCACAACACACCTAACTTCTCAAGTTATTAGTAGTAAATCACACTTGTTTGTTGCTCCTTTCTGTTGAAAATACTATTGATACTATTTTTTTCGCAATTCCCCGCATTTATCTTATACTTCGCTTTTCCATCAATAATAGTTTATTAAACCTTGGACGCGAATATCAGTGAATGTGACAATGAACATCTAAACAATTATAACAGTTGAACTTTTTCACTTCCACTCAAGCTAATCCTCACATAAGAAAACCCGTAAGGATGAACTAGCGTATTAACTCTATATACCTCACTATTTGTTAACTGTCCAAGAAGGGATTTTAGCTAATTTCTAAGTTTTGGTCTTGATCAAGTACCACTGCCTTTTTGTTACATGAGGTTTTTTCCATCATAGGTTTCAATTTTCGAAAACTTATCCGAAGATCGTATCTCAAAAATGGCAGATGTCATGGACCAGGATTACTACGCGGCTGGACATTACATTATCCGCCAAGGCGAAAAAGTCAGTCTCAAATATTAGCATTACTTTATTTGTTTAAAGCCATGTTGTTGTCGAGCAGAAAGGAATTTTTAGGGTGACGCATTCTTCGTAATAAATAGCGGAACAGTGAAAGTGACTCAACTAATAGAGGGTGAAACGGAACCGCGTGAAATCAGAATTCTGAATCAGGTTGGCAGTTGGGCGTTTTGTTTTTATTCAGTATCACTAAAATTCATAGTTTGTTTTTGTCAAAGTGTTTTTCCGTTTCAGGGTGATTTTTTTGGTGAAAGGGCCTTACTTGGTGATGAAGTTCGAACAGCAAATATAATCGCGCAAGCTCCTGGAGTGGAAGTGCTCACACTTGACCGGTAAGCGCTTATTCAATGTTTCCAGGGATCTAATTCCGTTTTCTTTTTCAAAACTATTATTTAGAGAGTCGTTTCTGAAGCTTATTGGTGATCTCGAAGCGTTAAAGCGCGACTATGGAGATAAAGAACGACTAGCACAAGTTTCATTAGAACCGCCTAGCCCCACAAAAGTATGTTTTTCTTAGTATTTAATTTCAATTTGCTTATCACAATTTTACAGGATATCATTCGCGAAGAGTTTGCCCACGTTCATCTGAAAAATATAAAGCGATTAGCAACATTAGGTGTTGGTGGATTCGGGCGTGTTGAATTGGTCAGCATTTCTTTTATTCTCCAATACTTACAACCTTACTTAGTTTTGATCTTTTTCTTTTGATTGTACTTTTTTTTT